GGGGGGGAGAGAAGAGGGGAGGGTCGGGGAAGTTCACAACAAAGAATACAGTGTGTCTTGTGCCAGACCAGAGAGAGGGACGGAAACAAGGCTATACGAGGAGAAACGTCGTAGGTTTAGGTTACTCATGTGTTACAGGTACTGAATAAACCATCCCTACTAACGATTTTTTTAGTTTGCCCTACGCCGCAGCCGCAACCCTACCCCTACTCTTTACCATGGAATGGGGGGCGTATCTCATGGATCTCATGACTTCCCTGCGTGTTTTTTTTTCCTGAATCCTAACCTCAACATGAACCACATTTCAAGGTCCAACAAAAGAAGAGGAATATGACACGTGAACTCCAGCGCACATTTTATGTCAGAAAACTAAGACTTTAAGTGCAGCCTGCTTAGATTATTCGAAAACTTCTGAAAACGAGATCATAATGCCTTAAGTAGGGTGCGGTGCAATGGAAGGATGCTGTCTTCTGCTCGTGTAAACAAATACAAAAAGAGGGGGAGGGGGCAGTGGAGGTGGGAGTGGGAGTGGGAGAGGCGAGTTGTGAATTATCACATCACTCCCTTGAATCAATCGTGGTTTGGAAGGAAGACGATGTTATTTTTCGGATAGACCGGCTAGTTCAGACATTTCATTCCTCTTCCGATAACTGGAGGAAACAATGACGTTTTTGGAGGTAGGAAAACCTGAACTGAAAGGGGCTGATTTGTGACGTCTGCTTTCCTAACCTCTCGAAACGTCAAATTTTTGTGAGAAGAACGTGTATAACTTAGTATCTCTGTGTTTTATGTAGCTTTTTTTGTTTTTCTGCATTACTTGTTTCAGTGGAGACGTTTCAACTTTTTCCAAGTGGAGAGGGATGTGGATTCAGGGAAGGTCAGGGAGAGTCTGAAGGTGGGTTTTGTGATTCTTCAACCTGTTCTTCATAAGTTAAATTTACATTGTTCTCCTTTTTCTCGTAGTCTCTATTTGAAACGGTTCATAAATTACATTTAAAATCATTTCAGGACAAGAAAATTCTAACTTCCAGTAGTGGAAATGGTAACTTAGTTTTCGGAGATTCCGAAGGAAGTATCCACCTAGTGACAAGAGGGTTTAATGTCACAACAATAAATGCATTTGAGTTACGAGTATGTTTAGTGCAGATGATGCAACATTCTCCCCTCATAGTTGCTATAGGCGTGAGTATAACTTGATGTAATCTTGAAGTTTTCTAAATGACGATTGATATTTTCAAGCACACTGTCACTTTTTCTGATTTCCTTCAATTAAAGGAGGATGAGCCAGGAATAAATCCATTGATAAAAGTATGGAATTTAGAAAAATTAGATAAACAAGGGTTGCCAATGTGTGTACGCATATCTCGGACTATTCCAAATAATCGCCCCACCCCTGTATCCACAATATGTGTACATGAAAATCTGAATTTGATGGCTGTTGGTTTCACTGACGGCTCAATTCTACTTTATAGAGGTTTGACTTTGACCAATTTATTTAAGGCTCCATCTTTATCACATGTTATGGTAATCCATTGTTTTCATGGTTCGATGCAGGGGATATTGCCAGAGATCGATTATCAAAACATAAAGTGCTCCGAGATGGAGGAATGCTGCCTGTGACAGGATTAGCATTTAGGTCAACAGCTAAACAAACTTTTCTTTTTGTTGCAACTGTATCAAGTGTGTTTTCATATAATATCACAACAAAGGATAAGGAAGAAAAGGTGATCCCATACTTGTTAATACCAATACAAACATATTCACTTTACTCCTCTTAATAAATGTGTATCACATTTTTATTACAGATTGATCTTGATAAGGAAGGATGTGAGAGAAATTGTTCAACCTCAACCGAATCAACGCATGATGGGCAGTTCATGATTGGACGAGAAGATGTCGGTCTTACAATTATACTCCTACTTGCTACTATTTTTGTATTGCCAGAAATAGCACTGCTAAGATGACTTGTTTTGTATTTCAGGCTGTGTACTGTTACACTGCTGATGGAAGAGGTCCCTGTTATGCTTTCAAAGGAATAAAAGTAATGTTAGAGTGGTATCGCAATTATCTGGTTATTGTGACAAAAGAGAATAAATCAGTAACGAGAGCCAGCACTGCTACTTCCCCAACAACTCCGTAAGATTTTGTTTGTGTAACCTATGGCTTCATCACTTGGCTATTTCATTTAATGACATGCAATTGCAATTTTAATGTTGCAGGGATACTCCAGGTGGAATGATAGGAAGTAAATCAGGTTCTGAAACCCACATGGTAACGGTGTTAGACATTCAGAACAAATTCATTGTCCTTCAAACGCCTATGCAAGATGTAATCTCTGTATTATCTGAGTGGGGTTCACTTTATGTTTTGAGCGGTCAATCTGATCCTTGTTTATTCCACTTTCAAGAAAAAGATTTGCAGTCAAAGCTGGGGCTATTATTCAAGAAGAATTTGTATGATGTGGCAATAAGGCATGTTTTTGCACCCTTTTTACTAGCTTTAGAAAGTGCTTAAGAATGCTATCGTTTGCACTCTTATTTTCTTTACTGAGTAATCATCTGTTGTTTTAAAAACATAATCCCTGAACCATTTGCTTTTTTTATTTTTTTACCTCTTACTATAGGATAGCTAAAAGCAATCAATATGATGCTGATGGCCTAACTGATATATTTCGTGAGTATGGGGATCACCTTTATGCTAACAAAGGAGACCATGCAGGTGCCATTGAACAGTATATAAAAACAATTGGAAGACTTGAGCCTTCCTATGTTATTCGAAAGGTGATAGAAATTGTGGTGGAACTGCTTCAACCAAGTATCTGTCTTTTGTTAATAAGGCATAATATTTGTGTTCTTCCAGTTTTTGGACTCACAGCACATTGAGAACTTGACCACTTATCTGCAAGAATTGCACAAACATGGCCATGCTACCGAAGACCATACAACATTGCTTTTGAATTGTTATACAAAACTTGATAAAACAGATAAATTGAAAGAATTTATCATGGTACAGACTATTCTATTTTTATATTTAGTGTTATTTCAAAATTGAGTTTCTTTGTTCAAACTTCTGTCATTTTTTATTTTTTTGAACAGACCAAAGATCGAGAAGTTGATTTTGATGTTGAGATTGCTATTAAAGTTTGTCGTCAAGCATCAACTGAAGATGCCTTGCTACTTGCTCAGAAACATAAAATGCATGACTGGTACCTTAAAATTCAAATTGAAGACCAAGGTGATTGTAAACAAGCTCTTGATTACATTGGCAAGTTGGATTTTAGCGAGGTAACATTCTTTTTATAACAACATTGTCAGTTCATGTCAATATCCTTTTTTTAGTCTTACTAAACCTTTTAATTTTTAGGCTGAAACTAACATGAAAAAGTATGGGTGCATACTTCTTCAGAATTGTCCTAATGAAGCCACTCAATTGCTGAAAAGATTGTGTACAGACTACAGACCAAGTAACAAACCTCTTGTAGATAATGTATGTGTTAGCAACTTATAGCAGTTTTTCATGAACAAAAATTGGAAGAGGTGGGGCAGTCTTTTTTTGATCCACACACTACTAATCAATCTTATTCCCCCCTAGAATATGCTGCAGGGAAACATAAACCCACTTGTTGACCGTGCCAATCCAGCAGATTTTATCCATCTCTTCACTGAATGCCCTAAGCATTTGGAAGAATTTTTGGAGTATTTGCTACAGGTGACTACATAGTCAAATTATACAAGGCTACAGCCTTGCTATTCTTGATAAATTATTTGCTATTTTACCAACTTTGATGATTTTATTTAATCAAAACAGGAACATACAGAATGGAATCCTTTACTTTACAATACACTCTTAGAGCACTACCTCAATTCTTGGGGAACTCTTGCTTCAGCAGGAACAGTTGAAACATCTCGGCGGCTACACTATGAACAGAATATCATGAGACTTCTCCAAAATCCTGACTCCCGTTATGATAAAGATCAGGTTTTGATACTCTGTCAAGCAAACAATTTCCGTCCCGGAGTTCTCCATCTCTTAGAAGAAAATCATTTGTAAGTGCCACTCATTTTTTGGTTGAACCCTACAGTAATCCAATCCAGAGTGATGACAGTCCATCGCATTCCCTATTGATAGATATCAGCAAATTCTACAATACCACATGATACAACGTGACTACAAGGAAGTTCTTAGCACCTGTCAACGGTTTGGCAAACAAGATCATAATTTATGGGTTCAGGCGTTGTGGTACTGCGCTCGGGACTCGCACACTCCAGCTGATCTATTAGAAGAAATTCTTCTAGTCATTGGTAATAATATCTTCCTTTCAAAAAAAAGGTCTGCTGTGGCATTTTGTTTCTGGGAATTCTTCCTCACAATTTGTTTTAAATTATTTTCTTTTTGTTTTATAGAGAAAGACAAATCATTGCCTCCTTTGCTTGTGTTGGATGCCCTGTGCACCTCTTCTGATGTAACTCTAGCCAATGTGCGCAGTTATTTGTTGAATGTACTAACCGCAGAAAGTAAGTTAGCTCGGAGGGAGCAGGAACTAGTGCAAAAGTATCACGAAGAGAGTGATCGTATTCGCCAACAAATTCGAAATATTCAAACGAAGTAAGCATCTGAATATTTGAAGTACTGAACTGATATTTTTGTAAAGATAGGTTTTCTTAAAAATTTATATAACTTTTTTGTGAATGCTAAAACATATAAAAATTTGTTAGGTCGATGATTTTTCAAGTATCACGCTGTAGTGCCTGCAATCAACCTCTTGAGCTACCTTCAATCCACTTCTTGTGCCAGCATTCTTATCACCAGCAGTCAGTATTCTGTAGCTGTGATGCAAATGGTGTATGTTTATTTTAAATACAGTAACATTGTCAAGCCTAACAATATTATATTTTGAGTTACAGTTGCTTTCATAGCTTCTCCGAGAATGAAAATGAGTGCCCCTCATGTCTTCCTAACAACAAAAAGATTTTGGACGTAATTAAAGCACGTGTGAGTATTACTGCATTCCACTGTAAAAAAGCTTTTGATGGAATATCTAATCTGACCTATCTATTCTTTTGGTGTAAAGGAGCAAACCAGAGATCTGCATGAAACCTTCCATGACCAGCTTAATAAAGCTGAAGATGGCTTTTCCCTTGTTGCTGACTATTTTGGAAGAGGTGTCTTCAATAAGCTGACTGTTGTCACAGACACCCCTATCCCAATGCTTCAAAGTAAGTAGTTGAATATTTAAAAATTTAAAGGGTGTCTAGGTTTTTTTCAATTAGGAATCAAAATTTATATTTTGTCAACAGAATCTACTCTCAGTGATAAGACCAACTCATCCACTGGAGCAGGGGCGGAGGCCCGTTTGAGAATTGCTGAGCAACCCTCCTCCTTTAGAGGTAATTATTAAGCTACTTGCATATGACTGTGTGATTCTCTTTTTAACTGCAGAAGACTCCAATTTTTCTTTTTGAAATTTGTAGGACAAGTTGGAATGCACAATCAACCTCAGTCTAACTTTCCAGCTACATCAGCCACTTCTCGGACTGCACATATAAGTAAGTAGATTTTAAAAATTTATTCTCAGGGTTCCATTTTATTTCTTCGACAAAGCTTATAATTTTTCCTGTATTTATAGGCCCATCTCAAGTCCAAACAGATTTTGCTGCTTTGTCAGTAGGATCTCAAAATAGTTCCCCTAAATTCAGTCCATACACTCCTAAATTGTATGAGACTCGTCAAGAGGCAAGTGGAAGTTCAGTTAGTACGAAGGGAAAACTTGTTCCTCCTATTTCAAGAGTAGTACAACCTAAAATTAATCCTGTCTCAGTACAGACGGAACAAACATCTAAAAATCCATTTGAGGATGAGGATGATGACAGTACAAACCCCTTCTCTGATGCAGTTGAGTCCACTACTAATAGTGCTGTAGGGCAAAGTAAGTCCAAGCCTGAGAGTGCTGCTTACTCAACCAATCCATTTGGTGAAGAAGAGGATGATGATCCAACCAATCCATTTGATGAGCCTGATGATTATGATAAAGAAAAAAATCCTTTTGGCTGTTCATAATTTAAGGTTCACCATCTTGTAGAAACGTAAAGAGGTTTATATTTTGTGATACTTGTAGTCACTACCTTAGTGAATTGTTGAATAGATTCAAGATATGTAGCCAGCAGTAGGTATCTTTTAATAACACTTTTTTATAAACAAAAGTTTGTGATAAATATGAGTAGTAACTATATTCTTGGACATGAGTGCTTTAAGAAGTTGATACTTTTCCAATTGTTCATTAAAAGAAGGGTTTAAATTTTGAATGAAATGCTGTACGTATTTTGCATATAGTATGTTATTGTATATAATTTTTTATTTCCGTAGAAAATGAGAACTATAGTAATAAAAGATAAGATAACTCATTGTATACATTTCTACTTATTTCATTGTTTAAAAGATCCTCCTTAAAATCTAACTGTAATTGTGTATCTGTAAAAGTAAAAGATTAAGTACTAAGGAAGACATAACTGAGGGTGATTTTGATAAGGCACTGTACAGGCAGTGGCTTCTTCCTTTGAAAATACTGTTATCACTGTTTTTTTACAGGGCAAGGGGCTACCCATCCTCCAAATGCTTTCTCTAGTTCACGTGCCACTGCCAGGCACAGATGATCTTGGAAAGGTGCAGCTACAACCTGAAAAAAATGCATGAGCATGCATCAGCAAAAACAGCAAAATAACTCCAATGAAAAATATGACTTTAAAAACATATCAATTTTATTTGAACACAAAAGTTACCTGAATACCAAGTGGAAGACCCTCTTTGCTTAGTCCAAGAGGAACTTGAGTGACAGGGAACTTGAGAACATTGAAAATTGCCCAATAACCAAAATTGTAAGGTCTCAAAAATGATGTGTAGTGGTAGCTGGCAGGGAACGGATGACTGGGAAACAAAAGAACTCCATTGCGGCCCAGTTTTTCCTAAAAAAAAAAATTTAAAAAAATGGAGTTATAAGGTTTTTCTCAACGAAGTGTGTGCGATAGCTTGATTGTTGATCTACCATGAGCTCGTCTTGGAGACGGGCTTTTGTACTTTCTGCCCATTCAGAATTTTCTGCAGGAAAGATTGCAGTATCTAGTAATTTTAGTAAAGCAGGCAAGGTATGAGTACTCTGACCCAACAACATTCGAGGGAGTTCTTGCCAAACATTGACTTCACTTTGACGATTCGTAATATCTCTTGCAAAGTTGCCACCTTCTTTGGTCATCCAGTATCGCCATATTCGGAAACAGCTTTTGAATCCTGACAAATCTAACTGTAATAACAGAATTTAATAATTGATAAACATATCTGTTAAATAATTCTGTAAATGAGAGCCACATTTTACCTTCTCAACAGGATATGTGCTGATAGTTTCAAGGTGATGAACAGCCTTTGCCATGATCTGTTTGGTCTCCCAAGTAACACTGCTTGCTCGCATATCACCAGATTCTTCCGCATACAGAATGTGTAGTTCTTTCAAATTGACCTGTAAGGATTCACATAAAACAGGTTTTTAAAACATTTTTCATAACAGAATACTTTTTACCTTAGTAGAAAGATGCAACTGGATTTACCTTTGAATCTAGCTGAATTTGACCAATTTTATTACCAACCATAACACGAAGGAATGGCTCTAAGTCTTCAGAAAACTTCGACATAGGCCCACAGCACACCATAGAATCGACCTCCAGGCCTGTGCGGAATGAGATTCCCTTGATAGATGTCAACCCTACACACAAGAGAGATTTAACAATGAGAACAAATTCTTTTATATGATTAATGAAAGTTACAACTATAGGTCAACCTGTTGTTGGCTTGTGCCCGTAAACTCCACAGTAAAAGGCCGGCATACGAATGGATCCTCCAATATCGGTTCCTATTCCTATGGGAGATCCACAGGATGCAATGATAGCAGCTTCACCCCCTGATGATCCTCCAACAGTGCGGGTAGTATTGTATGGATTACATGTTTGTCCATAAACATTACATCTAGTTTCACACCACAAATTCAACTCCGGAACATTGGAAATAGCTATCAAGATTCCTCCTGCTTCTTTCATTAGCTTAATCACATCAGCATCATCCTCTGCTTTTAGACCTTTACGAGCAACCATTCCCATAGAGAAATTCATTCCTGGGAAAGAAAATTTGAATCAATGTAATAGAATGTTGCAAAATCTATCAAAGTTTTAAGGAGAGTACCTTTACAGCTTGTGCTTTCTTTGGTAGTGAAAGGGACACCTAAAAATGGTTTAGTTTGTTCAGCTTCTTTCTCTGAAATGGCCCCGGAGTCTAGAAGTTTGTCAACATTTTCTGCATCTTTAATGGATTCTTCAAATCGATTATCAACAACAGCATTTAGAATTCCATTCACTTCTTGTATTCTTTCAATAAATGCTTTCACAACTACAACTGAGGTAAGCTGTAAAAAAAATTAAATAGAGTAGAATTAATTTATAATTGACCTAAGACCAGTTGGACAACTTACTGATGAGATTAATTAAAACCACAATTACTTACTTCTCGCTTCCGAATGGCTGCTGCTAGAGACGAAGCACTTTTCAACAGGATTGGGTTTTTAATTTCAGGAATTCTCTGTTTTTGTGAATCATCATAGATAAGGCTGAACACGAAATTTATTACTTTGTCTAATAAATCATGTATCACAACCCACACAGCAGCCAGAACAAACATTGCCATTCTTTTGAATGTTCGTAAAAGACGGGAGCCGCCTTTTTTCTGAAGAAGCATAAAAAAAGATTTAATAGAAACATAGACATGTGAAATGTTCCGTTTCAAGAAAGAAAAAGACAAGAGTTATTGTATAAAGCGTCGAACTGAGTTTATTGACCTGTAACTAACATTTATTTTTTTTGCAAAATATCAAACAATCTTATAAATTAAATAATAAACTAACATTGAGTAAATCAAAAGTCAGCAAGTATCATATGTTGCAACCCATAGTAAATGACTATGGGATTGCCGTTTGAACCAAACATGCCAAAGAAGTTGTACAAACAGCACTGAACAGAGTTTATTGACCCCAGCAGAACAGCGTATTCAAGTATGTTGATCAGTCGAAATTAAACTAAGGAAGAACATTCAGTAATCAACTAACTTTGAGAGAAAAAAACTTAAAAAGTATCAAAAATATATTGTAGCAAACGTAGACGGTGATAAATAAAGAGATCGGCGAAAGATGTTCTTGCCGTCTCGATTTATATACGAACGTCAACTGGCAGTGACCAGGTAAAAGGACAGCCTACCTCCGCGACTGCACTTCGGCTCCGCCAGAAGTCAGAAAGGTCTTATCATCGGCACGGTGAGTCAGCTGATACACACAACTAAACTCCTCAGCCATAAAAGAACCCGAAGCCTCCTGGGCCGGCTTAAACTTTTTCGATATACTTCGGATTAATGTGATAATACTTACAGCGACGGCATTCCTGGTCTTGGAGGACGAAGACATCACAGGGAGTTATGCAGCTACTGCACCAGGAGATCCCCCATGGACTGGAGAAATTGCGGTAATCCTCCAAAACCTTCCAGTCTGATGCTGGTGCCTTCCCCTTCTCCGCCAGCTGGCATTACCCCCCTCCCCCGCCTGCCCCCCTTCTTTCGTTGGCGCGCCGGCCCCCTCCCTTCCCTCCCCCTTCTCTTCATCAGGTGTTTCCGAGTCGCCTTTCGAGCATTCTCATTCTCCATGGCACGTGAAGGCGCGACTCGTGGAAGGTGGTGGAGGGGAAGTCTCAAGACAGACCTGGTGGTGAAGCAGCCGAAGCCGCTGCCGGTTGCTTGCGGGCTCCGGCTGTGCCCCTATCGCAAGGAGTAAACTTGACAAAGAGATACGTAAACCGGGTAAAACACCATAGAAAACACATGCGCTGTCATGCTGGATTTTTTTGCCTCCAGGACAGCACTTTTGTTTCCCTCCTGGCGCCTCGCGGCGTTGATTCCTGTCGCAGCCAGCGCACTGCGATCCTGACTACAAGCGGTTTGATATTTGTGTTCGGTTGGCTGTCGCACTGCTGTCGCACGAGCACGAGACGGCGGCGTGTGACAAGGCCGGCCGCCCCGAGGGGAGATGCTAGGGGGCCCAAAGG